GCGGGGCGGGGCGGGCGGCAGCCGGCACCCAGCACCCCTTCCCCATGCGATTGCAGCTTCCGGGAAACAAGGAAAGCAGGAGGACAACTGGAAGACAGCGGGAGAAGGACGCGGGGGAAGAGAGCGGTGGGGAGGTAAGCGCGGCGCCCCACCTGCGTCAGCATCTCCTTGAGCACCTGCAGGTGCGGCTGCTCGTCAAAGTTCCTGCGAGGGAGGGAGGGGGAAGAACGCGGAAAATGAGGAAAGCGGGAATGCAGGCAAGGCAGGCATGGAGGCGGCACAGGGGTCCAGCAGGCGGGTGTGGGTGCCCCGCCGGCGCGCGGCGGCTCCCTGGCCGCTGCTCCAGCCCCGCCCACTGTGCGACCGCCGCGGCGCGGCTGCCTTGCAGGGTGCGGCGCTGCGCCGCACGCTGCGCACGTCCCGGCCACACCCCGCCACCGCTCGCCCGCCCGGGGGGCGGCGTGGGGGCAGCAGGCCGCCGACGCCCAGCCCAACAGCACAAAACACACCAGGCATGCCCAGAGGCGGCCCGGCCGCCACCCAGCTGCCGCTCACTTGTCAAAGGACAGCACGGGGCGGGACCCCTGGAGGTGGTTGCCGCTCAGCTTCAGCTCCTCCAGCGTGTGCACTGCGGGGGTGGAAAGGAGGGCGGGGGTGGAAAGGAGGGTGTCGAGGAGGGCGGGGCAGGGACAGCTCTCCCAGCAGCAGCAGCTGGCAGGCCCGCACGCGGCTGCCCTGCCGCCAAAGACAGACGCCAAGAGAAGGCAGGAGGGAGCTGCTGCGCCGCCCTCGCACCCCGCCGCTTGCCTCCCGCCTCCTTCAACCAGCTCGGGCAATCGCTACAGGGCTGCGCGCGGCCGTCCTGCCGCCAAAGAAAGCAAGAACCGAGAAAAGAAAGGCGGGAGCAGCATGCTCACCGTTGGTGACGTGGAACTTGGCGGAGGGACCCCCCGGCGCCTTGGCCAGCCAGAGGTACAGGTCCTTGTGCTTGCGTGCCTCAAAGTACAGCACCGAGGTACAGCCCTGCGGTACGGGGGCGGCCGGCACGGGCGCGGCACGGGCGCGGCGTAGAGAGTGAGTGAGGCGCGGCGTAGGGTGGGTGGGGCGCGGGTGGGCCCCCCTCCTCCTCCTTCCCCTCCCTTTCCTGCT